ATTAATGCGGCTTTAATTCACAGGGCATTTACTGTAGTGCTTTGTGTAAAGATTAACACATCAAATCATGGCTTTGCTGTGGAAAAAAAATCTAATCGTTAATCTACTATTCACTATATTATCCATCCCGTCTTAAACTCCACAATTTCTTATGATTGACAACGGAAGGAGAAAGGTGACACTATTGGGAACAAAGACAACATACAATACAGAGAAGCAGGTAAAAATAAAGACAAACCCCAGTGATGCATCATGTGGGGCTGTGATTGTGTTTTTATTACATGATAATAAAGCTTTCAAATGTCCCAGTGGTATGGATGTGACAGAATCCATTGCAGAAAAAAATATATGAAGTATAACTACATTTCGGGGCATCACAATGCAGCAGCCACACCATTATTTATGACTGTGATGAAGGAAACTACTAGTGAAATGACATTTTTTCCAGCTCTATAAGCATGACAATATACAGCTGTGACAGGGCCATACGTCTACTGTGAGTCTAACTAACAGGCAGCAAAGATGAGGTTTAGAGCCGAGGGAAAATACATACATCAAACATTTTTATTGTAATCCGAAGAGATTTAAATGGCAGTAAAGCAGTTTGAAGCAGACTCATGGCCTCAGGGTGCTGGCAAGGTGGGATTCTCACCCAAACAGGACTCAGCAGGAGGAGGTAATGTAAGAGTTCAAACCCACTTCAAAGCTACTTAATGATTTAGAGGGTTGAAACCTCTCGTGGTTCATGCTGTTACGTAAGGTTATATTCATCAGCGCTTCATTAGATGTAACCAAAAAGCTCACATTCAGTTGTGGAAGAATCAAAGTTTCGGCATTGGACCTGTCAGATTTAAGGCTGCACTTTTTAATACTTCCATTCTTAATGTTAGCTGCCAGATGGCTGACAATGTTAGCAACCTACTGGTGAAACCCATTTAGCTGCAAGCAGATGTTTTTCTGAGGAGCTGACGGAAAGCAAATCAGAGCTAAAAAGAAAGTGAAAATTGGACTTTTCTTGTACCTTCCACTGTACAGTGTAGTGAACTACGTAGGTAACACGTTGGCCATACCGACATTACAAACGATGCTGTATTTACTGTTTATTCTGCTGCCCCAGACTGGACGTAGCTTCTAGCTATACAAAGTGAAGCCAGTGTTGAAGTGCTTTAAAGCTGCATACAACAGCCAGCAGGGGGCGACTCCTCCGGTTGTAAAAACAAGTCAAATTGTACACAAGACTATAAGAAAACAACCTGACTTCTCATTTGATTTGCTACCTATATATACATTTTTCTAATAATGCTATGGTCTCATTTTGTAAATTATCATTCCATTTCGAGTAAACCCATGATAAAGCAGCTTTATGGCATGACTAGCTTATTGTTTGGTAAGTTGGTGTTACCATCTACTTCAAGTTCTCGTTCACAACCGGTTTCATCAAACCAGGAGGTTTAGAGACAAAATTCCAAACTCAAGGTTCTAAAAGGGTAGCCTAAAAACTGGGTGATGTAAAAATTTCAATATCCAGTCCACGGTTTTTACTTTTGGTCTTCATAATTGGTGACACAAACAGTGCTTTCCATGAGTTGGTATTTTAGCGAGTCATCACACAGCATTTGTAGTAGTTTATGTGAAGCACACTGATTGTTTAAACACATCAAAGTAGACTGGGGGCTCGAAAGAAAAATCCAAGACTTCACATGAACATGTTGAAGCAGGTAGTATCTTTGAGGTGTCAGTGCCATGTTCTGGGGCCAATGAAAAACCATCAACAAATAAAAAAATGTCTTTTTAAAATAATTACAGGCTTTTCTACATATATATTGAAAATACTGTATCAGTGTTTTACAGGACATTTGTTGAAACTTGTTTTCAACAGATAGCTCAGTTTTTCTCAACAATGATGTCTGGTGTATGTTGGGCCAGACATTAATCTACTGTCTATGAAAGCAGACGAATCAGTGACATCGTAGTAAAGAGAGCAGCAGGTTTGGCACAATGCCTCGGACAAGGTGTTATGTCATTACAGAAGAATGTAGGTAAATTACTTTTTAACCCTACCACCCTGCTGCTACTGCAGTTAAAGCTTCTAGACACGGTACCAGTCACACATCTTGTGGAAAATGTCTGCATGTTTTCACACATTAAAACAGCGATAACCTGTAATAACCTATGTCATCACATTTAAAACATACTGTGAATATTTATAGCAGCACATATCTGAGTTATATTTAGTTTTTACTGTACATTGTCATAGCGCTCCGCCACATAAATCCACTCTTACATAGTAAGGCTTGGATTTACCTTAAACACTATAAATGTCCACAGTTGTGCATCTGAGTTTTATAACATTCAGATTTTGGAGTACGAGAGAAGCACAAGATAGAAATACAAGCACACATCATTTGTTTTATAGCAAACAGTATTTAATTTTCAAGTGGTTTCCCATGGTATCTGGGTTTAAGATGTATACACACGACTGTCACTAGGGATAAACACACAAGCCAGGCAACAGAAGGAAACGAAAGCTCAGGACTGAAATCAGCTTTCCTTTTATGTCCTTCATAGAACCCATTGATTTTTCAGTTAATATTTATCCAGAAGACAAATCTTTTGCTACCGTGATTGATCTCTCATTGTATTTCAGGTTGTGTGGGTGGTGCAATCACATGATGAGTCAAATCATACGCAAATAAGTGAAGAAAACTTAGCTCCTAATTAGTTAGAGTGATTTTTTTTAGGTCAAAAATATTGTGTTTCTCTAAAACAATGAGTTGAAAGTTAAAAATATTATATACATTTGTGTTATAACAAAATGATAACATTAATAACTAGCTGTTGTTTATTTTCTAGTGAGTAAGGTTGCATTGTTAGATGTGTTTTTGGGGTTTTTTTGGGACTGCTGGAGGGCAGCAGAACAACTTGTAAACACAATACTGACGGCCCTTTAACACAGGACATGACAATGCCACCCCCATGCTCTTAAACCCATTGCTTGTGCTGCGTACCAGTGCACAGTGAGCCAGTCGGTGAGCTTGCAGCATATGACATATTCTTCCCTGGCCAGTAGAAACAAAGCAGCCGTGTTGTTAAGGCGGTTGCATCAAACTGGGTGTTTCTCAATGAAAGAAAATGAAGTGAAGTCATTCCGCTGGAAGTTTTGAAAACTCTGCTTATTTTGCTCAGTGCAGCGAACGCCACGTCCTGTCTGAAAGGACGGTGACGCAGTGTGACCTCACTCTGTTGT